TATTCCGTTGATTGTAAAGAATACTTACTAGCCCTAGTAGGGAAACTTGCAAACTTATCTCAACCTGTTATCAACGATGACAATATGGAATGTGTGTTAGATAGTGTCTTTGCAGATATAGTACATGAGTCGGGAACGTTTATTATTCCGGAGATATTAGATTCCGCAACCCTTCTTCGATATGAATTTGTCTTTTTGAATTATCAACTCGGAACGATTTTCCCAATCGGATTTGCAATTACTCTATGTGGAACAAAAACTTATTTGATGGACTTGGTTGCAACTTTTGGGTTTTATTCTGAAATTTGTGAAACTGACGGGATTGATTTGGGCACTAAGTTCAAGATTGGTTGTTGTGAATTTATATTGAGAGCTCATAGCAACTATAACTTTTTCCGTGAGGCTACTGAACTCTTTCCTTTATCTCCGTTTAGTTATATTCCCGACACTTCAACAGCAAAGGGAGTCTTCTTTGAATTTGTATTTATGAAGATCTTTCGTTTTCGCTTATTAACTTTTCTTCATTCTAGTTCCTCGCCTATTGTACATTCTGCTATTCCAGGAATTTTCCAGGGTTCTTTTATTGAACAGGACAACGTTTCTTATTCTATAGAATCAACAAAATCTTATGATATACCCATCTTGAGAAATGTCTCTCGTTCATTTTCTGATCATTATAGAGATTATTTACAACATTGTGGTATTTTTGTTCCAAAGGAGGGCAATTCGAGTGGTCCTGATGCATATGTTGTATTCCATAATGGACAAACACGTTATGTTGTTGGATTTTCATTCAAATTTTATCACAAAACTGAATTTTCGAAAACAAATATTGAGGAAGAAGCCAAAAAATTTTTTAAGGGAGTTGTTTCCGTTTTGAATGACGAATCTTTTTCATCTGTTCAACTTCGTTTTCAGTTTGTGGTAGTATGTACTAGATATGATCAATCTGTAGGTTTCTCTACCGAAGAACATAATATTGTTGAAGATGCAAGTCGTTTTGTGACTCAACATTTTCGGGATCAACTT